TTTCATGACAGAAGGAAGATCTACATTTGCTAAATAAACAAAGCGTGTCAACAAGTATTATTTGCTAACTAGAAGACACAGAGAACTGAATTCCGGCCTACATATAAAGTCTGTATTTCATCATGAAGTGACATCCCCAATGAAAAACAAGCTGTCTATGTGCCACTTTAATTTGGGCTCCCCCCCCTTTTTTTTTTTTTTGAAATCCTGAAAGTATTTGTGCATTTTATAAAAGCTCTTAAGTATTATGCAGAGTAAGCCATAAATAATTCATGGCCTGCCCACGCCTCTGAGCATCATTTGAGAAGCCTCCGTGGCTTTATCAGTAGAGTGCAATAAATACACAATGCATGCTGTCAGTCTGAGGGCACTTACATAAAGCAATGGAAAATAAATAACCTCATTTATTGTGGAATAACTGATGGGACTCCCCCACCCACCCACCACACCCACCGGTGAGCACACACTCCATATTTGTCAAATAAACCTGTCCCTGACCCCAGTGACCCACTAATTAAGAATCAAACCTGCTTTTAATTGTATAGCCTCATAGTGACATTATATGAAGAAAGAAGTTGCCTTATACTAGGTCAGACTAGGATAAAGTCTAGGCTAAAGTTGTCTACCATGACCTTCATTCAGTGTTCTATGTCAGATAGTTCTTGCACTAGCAGATGGGTGAGTTATAATGTTGAACAACAGAGGAATCCAATGCAACAATCCGTTGCACAACAGAGCCACCAGGAACCGACTAATGCATTCTCTTGAGCATGACTGTTCCGCCGGTGCAAAATTTTTCGCCAGCGGAACGAGTATACTGCTAAGTAACTTCAACTTAGTGCTGCACTGGATACAATCCCATTTGACTAGCTTGTCACTCTAAGATCCCAGGCAAAGGGTCTTTCCTAACAAGTGCTATTAGATACACTTCAAACTAGAATTGACAGGAATTGAACCTGGCCCTTTGTGCATGCAAAGATGTGCTCAAGTGCTGAGCTATGGCGCCTCCCATCCTGGGTTCAGGTTCTTGGTCACACAATATAATGTGTAATATCATGTTGGGAACTGATTAACAGCAAGAGAAGAAGAGGCTTCTGGTCCATTAAGCTCCACATTAATCTGCAAAAGAGCCCCCAGGGTCTTCTTCATAATTTCATTAGTAAGCAAGGCACTAAAAAGACAGAGAGAGCTTGTTTACTGCCTGGGATGTTATCTTTGGACATAGACGCCCAGATTAAAATTATTGCTCATCCTCATCAAACCGCCATCTCACAGCTTAGCCTATGTCACAACAGCTCTTGTGAATGGACTATCCCAAAGGCTCTTGGGATTGGGCAGAAAAGCAATCTGCATAAATAAAAGAAGCAATTACTTGCAGCTCATTACTGAACTGCTGTAGTCAGTTTGCTTGTTTGTTACTGTAAGTCTTCTAGGGGTTGATCATGTGGAAGAGAGTTAAGCCACATCCTTAAAGCCTAGTGATATGACTAGACGTAGAATAATCTTGCCAGGGGGTGGCTGGGTGGGGAGCACGGAGTACACTAAAACTGTAATAGTTTGCTTTCCCTTTTTATTTCTAGGGGCTTTGGAAGGGAGGTAGGAAGGGCAAATGAAACATCTGTATAAATAATTTTCTTTGTTGCATTTTATCCCAGTCTTCCTCCAAGGCTGGATCTAGACGTGTCAAAGAAGCGATTCAGTTAAACGCGTTGTAAACTCATTCAGGGAAATCCGGTAGGGAAATCCAGGCCTCCATAGCGCCATCTGGTGTCACAGTGTTATATCGTATACACAATGCATATAAAACACTTTTTCTTTACCAATCTAGCTGAGCCCCAAGTCACTCGTCTTTTGCCATTTGTACCTTGCCTGTGCATTGAGATAATAACCACCAGATGCCCCAGCACTTCTTGGTCTTCTGACACTTGGTGGATGGTGACCCATGAAGGGGTCTTTGCAAGCTTTAATGCTCTGGTTTTGTAAAGTTTCAAACATCTTCTCAGGGGATTTTTTGATATAACCTCTGCCAAGGACCATTTCAAATCCTTTGAAACAATGCCATTTCAAATTGTTTCCTTGCATTTGCAAATAAAATGGTTTTAATTCATGCACAAATGCACATATTTTTTTCTGCACAGTCTCCAACATTGTTTTCTGCTACGTTAGGCTACCACATAACTGTTTCTCTGGAGAGCCTGCAAGATGAATCCAAGAGACTGGAAAACGCTGTTAGCAAGGAGCTGAAGCCTGCTGGAGACAGGGCAGTGTACCAGCTTATGTCTGGTGCACCATATTGTATTCCCACCTCATCTGCTGTCTTGCTGATGACCTTAAAGATTCATCACTCTGTTTTTGTTGTTTACCCAGCTGTAAAATGAGTGCAATAATAAAACTTGCCTGTCCCACAGGAGTGATGCAATAACTAATTAAGGCTGCAAAATGGTTCCGGTGACCTCTGATGAAAAGGATAGCATTTTAATATTTTTCTGCAAGACGCCCATCCCTGTAATACAGCCCTCATAAATGGGAAAGAATGCTGTGCTATGCCACAGAGACCCTCTGAGCTTTTGTGCCAAAAGTAACTGAAGTCAGAATTTGACACGTCATAATATAAAGCAGCAACAGTGAAAGGCCAAGCCATTCAGTTCAAAAACCTGCTTGACATTTATATAATGGCTTTCCCAGTGACAGTTCGCTATAGATCTTTTTCAGTGCTTGACCAACCTTTGGTCTTTTCAACCTGAACGAAAACTCAGTCAATGAATCCCATTCTGCTAAACCCGCCATACACATGACTCCATTCTCTCCAGCCAGACACAAGAGCCATAGCCATGTGTAACTTTCCCCACCATTTCTTAATAAAAGGAACCCACATTAGAATGCAGTGAAATGAAGAGAAAGGACAGGTGGGATTTGAGGACCTATTCCTGTAGGCTGTATTGCTTTCTCTTTAAATTGTCTGCCCTCACCCCAGCTGCTTTTCTCTTTGCAGAGAGAGAGAGAGAGAGAGAGAGAGAGAGAGAGAGAGAGAGAGAGAGAAAGGTTCAGGTGCCTGTCTCATTTCCATCACCACTGCTTTGTGGCTCAGATTTCCCCACTGAAAGACCGAGTGGTTTATATATTTCTTTCCAAAAAAAATTATTAGTTTCCTACAAAAAATTTTAAACACACAAACAAACAAATAAACAAACAAACATAAATCCTAATCTTGTTAAAACTAAACTTATTAACATTGTTAAGCGACTTCCTTGTATCCCCTTGGTTGAATTTCAGTGTATACCATTTTAACGGTTTTCCAAAACCTATATTCTCATAAAATTAACTTAGTCACTTAACATCTTTCTTGCTTTCCCATTTGGCATTTCAACGTGTTAATTTAACACATTACATATTTAAATCCTAAGCCTATCTGATATTTGCAAGCTTTTCCAATTAGTCAACTGAGTGGTTTATAGCTGCTCTTCCTGGAGTGCCAACAAAGCACATGTGGACAGAGCTTCTGCCTCACAAGTAGGACTCAGGAATGGGAGGCCTGATGATGCCAATCTGGGTATCTGCCAGGAGGCACGACTGCCCCTGTTCACAGGGGTGATGGGATGGTCTGGAGTTGTGGGTGGGGGGTCAGCCAAGTTACGGTACGTCAGGTCCCCTGAATCTGCAGCCTCCCAAGCAAAGCATCTTCCCAATCTAACAGTCTCAGGTTGGTTCTCCATGTCTGCTAATTCCCCTCAAACAGTAGATTCCACTGAAACTTTAGGAAAGCAAGAAGAGCTCTCTCTGAGTGTTAACTAGATGATAATTAACTGTTGTTGTTTCCTGCTAAGAAGTCACAGAAATGGAGGCTTTGCTGAGTGATATCAACTCGGACTCCATGTGCCTTTTGAATATACAGAAATGCATGAGTATGAGAGAATCACTCGAGAACCTTTGCATCTTGTATAACCCTTCTCTGTATGAAACCAGTGCGTGAAAAGTGGGAGTATTTTTTCAACTTATGGAAGAAATCCGTTAAAATAAAAATAGGAAAAACAAAAACAAACTATTGTTGTTTCCTGCTAGCTAACATGTGAGTGAGGTGACAAAGGTATTTAGTTGCAAATCTCCATTTTGAAGGGAGAAGCCATTGTGTCTTTTGTCTCAAGACTGCCTAGAGTGAAGATGTAAATGAAGCTCCCAAAGAAAACAGCTCCAGGTGAAATGGATGCTGTTAGAGAGAGACCTTTGCTTATAGGTCTATTTGGATTATTTCATATTTTGCAAGATGCCGAGCCTGTGCTAGACAGCACAATGGATATTTTTGATGTAAACTTGATGTTGTGAAGAAAGTTGTGCAAGTAAAACTTTGAATAATATTTTTATGGGTCTGGTAAATTTCTTCTAAAAGGAGTCAGTTTTTATTCTTCAAAAACTGTGCAATATTAATATCTGCAATAATAAATAGCGAGAGGGGGCATAGCTCAGTGACAGACCATTTGCATTCCATGCAGAAGGTCCTAGGTCCTGTTCCTGCCATCTTCAGTTGAAAAGTCATGGGAACAGCATCTTCAGATCTTGGAGAGCAGTTGCCAGTTCCTAGAGGAACTAAATCCACCCCCTAAACCGGGAAGAAGAGCAGCAAATATTGCAACATTGCACACAGCGCAATATCAGTGTAGCGGCAACTGCCTCCTTCCCATGCATCTCAAGGTCCCTTACCTTTTTAAAAAAACCTTCTCTCATCTTGCTATCATCTTCCTACGTGTTTCCGGTAAGTTTCCTTTTTTTAAAAAAAAAATTAAAAATCCTGCGAGAATTACAAATAGCTCCCGTTTTCTATGGCATGACAATAATATACCCCCCTCTCCCTGCTCTGATCTGCCAGCTATTCAGATGAGTCACTTTGTGAAACCTTGCTCAGATAGCAGGGAAGTGAAACAAAAGGGGTGGCGGGAAAGGTATTTGAAACAGAAGTGGTGCAAGAGGTGACAGAAGTTATTTTCATATATGGTTATAAGACTCACCACTTATCCATTTAGCCTCTGGGTCATGAATTTTGAAATCTTCGCTGAACAGATCTTCCACTGTAATCTTCTTCTTTTGAGACTGGCTATTATCTTCGACTGTAAAACATCCAGAAGGGGGAAAAGAAGAAAAATGCCCATCCATTACTGCTAATTTGCAATTTTATCTGCACATTCAGCAAATGAGACCAGTTATCTCTTTTCATTTTGAACTGACCGATATTTGGGAATATGTGCATGAGAAGCATGGTAGACTTCTACGCCAGAGTAAAAGTTGGTCCTGTGGATTGTGCTCCAGTTCAAGTTGGAAATGGCCTAAGTGTGCATGGAAGCGAAAGCTCCTCTTGCACTGATCCAGCACAGTAGACTGCATGTGAAGCAATAGTGGAAACAGTGCGAGTATCGTGCCCCATGTCTCTCCTGTCCCCAGATGCAGCTGCCCACATGTTTAATATGGGGTGGAAAAAGAATTTATACAGTAGAATCATGGCATTGGAAAAGACCCTAAGGAACATCTCATCCACCTTCCTACAATGCAGGAATATGCAGCTGTCCCTTACAGGGATCTAACCTGCAACCTTGGTGTTATCAGCATCACGCTCCAACCAACTGGGCTGTCCAGCAGGTTTTAAACCATAAATCATAGTAGCAATAATTCATTCTTGGAAACCATCTTGGAAAAGTTATCCTGAACTAGCCTTCTTCAGCTTGGTGTCTTCCAGATGTTTGCTGCAACCAGTATCATCTGCCCCAGCCAGAGAGGCTGATTGGAGTTGTGATCCAAAACATCTGGAAGGCAACAGGTTGGGGAAGGATATCCTACTCCAAATAGATTTTAGACAAGTGAACACCAAGGTAGCTTCTGGTATGGGATACTCCATCTTAGGAGAGAGGGTTGCATTAAACTGTGGCTTGGGGGCTTTTAAGTAGCTCAAGAAGCCACACTGAACAAATGAAGTGTTGAAGAGCCAGAGGTTTCTTTGAGGTTGTTGCCATATGGTGAAAAGGCCCCCATTCATTTCAAACATCAGCCGTGCAGCTGATTGCACTTATGAACAGGGATGCAATGAGTTATAAATATTAATAATCAGTTTTATTTTGGGCAAATGCTTCAAGGGGTAGTTCAGGTTTTATCTCATAATGTGATAGCATTACAATTTTCTTCCCCCAGATGCATGTTTTCTGATTAAATATACATTAGCTACAGCCATGGCAATTATCCTTTTTTATGTTAACACCATGCAACTATATATTTTGAATTCCTGCATTTTTATTGCACAGGGACTCATTTTTGAAAGCAAAAAATGGCACCACGCATGATTTCTACCAAATGATTTCTAATGAATGTTCACATTCATTAAGGACAGGTCAACAGAAGAGAGAGAGAAAAATCAATTAACACTTTTGACTGTCAAACCACAAATTACGTGCCCAGAATTCTGAAGTGTACAGATGCTGTCACAGCAAAATGGTAGGGAGGATGACCTAGCACAGTTTACACTCCCTGATAAATCCCTGAAGCTTCTAGATTTCTAATGAACAACAACAAAAAGCATCACTCCCCATTCCAAGTCCATTTCCTGGACTGCAGTTGAAAGAAGTGTCCAGGTGGAAATCGGCTAAATGTCTGGGAAAATCTGGATGAATGGCAACTGATGTCGGTAGTGTAGTTTTTGCCAATGTTCCTCACAAATACCTCAAAAATGTCCAATTTCTTTGCTTAACAACTTTGGGCAAACTAAAAGAACCAACAACAACAACTCAACAACTTTTCTGTCTGGATTTTCACTTTTTGAAATATGGTAACCCTAGGACGCGGGTGGCGCTGTGGGTTAAACCACAGAGCCTAGGACTTGCCGATCAGAAGGTCGGCGGTTCGAATCCCCGCGATGGGGTGAGCTCCCGTTGCTCGGTCCCTGCTCCTGCCAACCTAGCAGTTCAAAAGCACGTCAAAGTGCAAGTAGATAAATAGGTACCGCTCCAGCGGGAAGGTAAACGGCGTTTCTGTGTGCTGCTCTGGTTTGCCAGAAGCAGCTTAGTCATGCTGGCCACATGACCCGGAAGCTGTACGCTGGCTCCCTCGGCCAATAAAGCGAGATGAGCGCCGCAACCCCAGAGTCGGTCACGACTGGACCTAATGGTCAGGGGTCCCTTTAGCTTTACCTTTTTAACCCTAGGATAATACTTCAGTGGCCTAATAACATGGATTCAGCATCCCTTTCTGGCTGAGTGCCAATTCTGATGACTGGCCTCCATGGGGATCCTGTGAAATACCGTAATTCACAGATAGTCTACATAGACTACAACTGGCATAATTCTTGAGCACTGGCCCTGCTCATTTGTGGCTGGGGCTGACATCTGGGCAGCCACAGGTTCCTTGAACCAATTCAAAAGTTTTCTCCAGCTGCACAGGACCCTCTAGCAGATAACCAGTTCCTGCACAGGACCCCTGGCTCCTGTATCATTTCCACATCAGAGAGACCTACTTTTTTTGGCCCATATATGCTAAGCGAGACCCATTTCTAATTTTGTAATTACATATACTGGTTCTCTCTTTTGCTGCTCACATCCATTCAATTTTTCCTCTTTTTTAAAATAAAAAGTGCTAATTGCACCACCTCTGCAACCCAACTTAAACTGGGCATTAGCCAAGCTGTGGATTTCAGTGCACTATCAACACACAAGTGGTGGATTTAGGGCTGTGTAAGCAGTGTGCATGGGCAGGAGGCTGAGCTGAGGAGGGCACCTTCTCAAAGCCTGGTAAGCAAGAAGCTGGGTTTGGGGAAGGAGATGCGAGGCATCCTAGAGTTCTCCTGCCTCCTATCCAAACCTAGTTAGTTCTTTGGGAAGGAGATGGGAGGGCTCTAGGACCCTGGCAGAGCCTTGCATCTCTTCCCCAGCTTTGGCAGCATGAGGCATCAGATTTTGGCCTCCCAGAGGGCGCCTATTATTATTAATTTTTATTATTATTATTATTATTATTATTATTATTATTATTATACTGCCCTATACCCAGGAGTCTGAGGGAGGTTCACAGAATAAAACCCAAGAAAACCCAAGAAAAAAACACAAAATACTACCCAAGTCCACCACTGTACACACCCTAATACTGACATTTTCTTGTCTGGGAGCTTCATTAAAATTAAAACTAAGCTGAAATTTCTCAAAAGACATTTTTTTTTCTAAGAAAATTTATGAGAATTGTTTTCCTCCCTCAACAAATAACTGCAACTTTACAGAATTTTCTCCAGATACTGACCACTTTTTTTAAAAGCAGGGACCATTTTCGCCCCACAATGTTCTAGGACAATGCTATGTCTAGAGCCCTGACAAAGATGGAAAATGGTGATCATGGTGCCAACAGTTTTTTAATGTATCTTTTCAATATCTTTTAATGTTTTTATATTACGTTATCTTTTGCAAACCGTATTTAATGAATGGGGGGCGGGGAGAGGCCTAAGTTGGGGCAGAGCAGCTATGCTCTTGCCATTGCAAATCACGCAAGCACAACACTGAGAAAAAAGTTGGAGAATTACTCAAACCCTATTTAGCAAAATGGTTCCCCCATCCGCGAGTTCTGTGTACTAAAACAGAGTGTAAAATTTTGAGAGGACATTTGCACACAGCTCTAAATTGGAACCAATGGGACAGATTCCAAGCCAATGCATTTAGAATCAGGGTGTTTATATCTAAGCACATCAGAGAAGCCTTGCAGCACTAAACATCTTTCCCATTGTTTAGTGCTAACTTGTTATGCAGGCTAAACACATCCCTGTTTAGAGATGCCATAAACAGACTCCATTGAGCCAATTAATGGAGGAGAAAATGGCTTTTTACTTCACTGGTCCCAAGGTACTTCAGCCACTTAAGATCTAGCCATGAAGCATGCATTATTTCGGTAACAGGCACACAAACCACCACTTGCAACATGATAATGGTTTAGTCCTAAGACTTAGTGTGCCAGTGCAGAAACGCTTGGGAGAGTGGGATAGAATCACAGAATTGCAGAGTTGGAAGGGACCCCGATGAGCAGTGTGATGCCATAACTTCATGAGATTGAAATAAAAGGGCAGCATGTCTAAGATTGTGCCTGTGAGGCAAGGAGACCTCAGTTCAAATCTCTCAGCTCGCTTGCTACAGCTGACGGTACTAGAGAACAATGTTGAGGGTTACAACCCAACTTCAGGAAAGTGGAACCTGTAGCCCTGCAGATGTTAATGGGCCACAGTTCTCATGTCTGGGGCTAACATCTGAAGAGCCACAGGTTCCCTGCCTGGAATGTTTTTCCAGTTAGGGCAGACACTACTTTTGCATGGAACAACTCTGAAGACATGTAATCAGATTAGATCCTTCTTCATTCTGTTTCCCCTTCCTTTCCCCCCACTCCTTGAGTGTTAGAACAAAGAATATTCTCTTCCCCCTCTCCCATGAAATCTCTATGCTATTTTTCTGCCTTGTTCTGCTTTTGATCTTAGGTTTAAAATGGTATTTTTCTAGCATTAAAGAAAATTATTTGTTGGCAAATGGTTATCTCCACAGCCCTTCTCTTATGTACAGCAGAAAATTGTGGTCTCATGGGATCACCCAGCCTAACCTTCTTGCCTTTTTCACTTAACTTTCCAGGGAAGAACATCTTTGCTAGGGACTTACTTGAGCTGAATGAGTTAATTTATCAATGTAGCTGAAGTCTGATAAGGGCGTCACTCTTTCTTTTCCTGACAAGGCACCTATGCCTCCAACCTAGGGATGAGGGACAACTGTCAACCTGAGGGCCGCATTATATTCTTGGCAACCTTATGGAGGCCGCATGCCAGTGGTTGGCAGAGTCAACATCAAAAGTTGGCAGATAATGAATGTGCATTTTACCTTCATACAGTATGCTGGTTTGTACACATCCACCCACCCACCTACCTCTCTCTAGCCTCCATTCAGGCAAGAAAGAGGCATTACCAGAGTTGAAGGGCACATTCCAACCAGGCAAAAATACTCAAGGAGGGCTCATGAGAGATGTGGTCTTGGGAAAGGGTAAGGGTGTGCGTAATGCCCCAACAAGCTGGCAGAGAGGTGCAGAAGGTTGCATTTGATCCCTGGGTTTGAGGTTCCTCAACTAACATCTGCTTGAGAGACAGCAACTCAAGGAGTAAACTTCATCCCTTGAATTTCTCTCTGCCATGTAGCTGTTGCGTAGCTGCCTTTCTTCTGGGCAGTGCATAATACGTTCTCTTAGAGAAATAATTGAGCAAGAAAGCCCCTAAACACAGCAGCTCTATCTTACCATCTAGAGGGCCCTCCTGCCCCAGTAAGACCATTAAATCCTAGACTAAAATTACCTAACTGCATCACTGTTCCACATTCGGTATCATTAAAAAACACAGCGAAGCACACCCCTGCTTTCAAGATTAAAAGAGCGGGGGAGAGATTTTCTCCATCTGATTGATCTATCCATCAAGTTCAGTTTAATCAGGCCCCTGCCTTTTTAAAATGCATTTCCAAAGACACTGAAATTACAACAACAGCAGCAACTAAAACTAAAGGTTATATAAATACCTGGTGTCAGCAAGATAACTGAAGTGACAATCAAGGAGCAGATAACCAGAATAACAAGTAACGCAATTGCAATTCCTTTCCAGTTCCTTTGTGGAGGGTTGCTCCCCACCAGCTCCTGCAAACAGCAAAAGAAAAAAGGGAACGGTTAAGCAGAGGCCATGAGCAACAAACGCATCCAAACACGATATAAGGTGAATCTAGTCAATTAGCAATTAGGTTCAGTAGCCATAGGGGCAGCTGTAAGCTTGCTTGTTGCAGATGCAAAGATATATTTGCGTAAGTAACTAGGAGAGCAAGGCAGCATGGGACAAACCGAATTGCAATAATAAGAGATTTGGTGATTTTAACCATTGGTGTTCAAATCTGCTGTACAAGGACCAGCGAGCAGGGGCTTTGGACCACCTGTCTGCCATTCACTGAGCTGCGCTGATGTCACAATGAGACTTTAGTTTTATGGGAAATAGTTTAGGATCCACTTACATAGTACCTCATCCCTCCACCTTGGAGAACCCTTTATTGCAAGGGTGAGGATCCTGTGGCCCTCCAGTGGTTGTTGAACTACAGTTCCCATCAACCCCAGTCAGTGTGGCAAGTGGTCAGTGATAGGAGATGAAGTTCAACAACATTGAAAGCAGGCTTCCTCAACCTTGGCCCTCCAGATGTTTTGAGACTACAACTCCCATCATCCCTGACCACTGGTCCTGCTAGCTAGAGATCATAGGAGTTGTAGGCCAAAAACATCTGGAGGGCCGAGGTTGAGGAAGCCTGATTTAGAGGACCAAAAGCACCACATCCTTCTTGCTTAGCTCCATTCCAGCATGTTGGATAGCCAGCATAATAGAGGCCCCCATTATTTATACCATCTCCTACTCTGTTGCTTTGGTTTGGGTGGCAGGCAGCAGAGGAAGATATTGAAAAAAGCAAGCAATTTTCTGAAAAAGGAAAATAAGAGGAAGAATGAGTTGGGAAATTTCATACTTTTTTTTTTAAAAAAAGAAACCCTCAAAGCAACAAAATTAAGGGGAAACAATCAGCAACATGCATTTATATATGCAAATTCTATGCACTGTGGTAAAGGCATTTTGAAAATTGTAATAGATTCACCCTTCCCCTACCCTTGAGAGGCAAAACAACCACTATCTTAATCTCGCAGCAAAGGGCATGGAGATTTAGTGATTTCCCTAATGCGTGCCAATGTTAGCCAAAGAGTCAGGAAAACAATGTGGGTTTTGTTATCTCTGTTCACAGCCAACCCTTCCTTTCACATTAAAAAACAACAACCCAATAGAGGTCAAAAAGGAGAGGGAATCAGAGAGGCAGCTGGTGCCAATGTGAGCAGGCTGCCAAAGCCTAAATCAACTTCTCAAATAATCAAAAAACCCTTTAGACCCAAATGCATGCATGCTGTCGTTTTTGGTTCTTTAAAACCAACAGAAATCTAAAAGAGAAGGGCAGAAACTATTAGATGCAGCGACTCCTCCCAGCCAGGGACAAAGGCAATGTTGCAGCCCCGTGATCAAGAGAGGGCAATGCTTAATCAGCTGTGAGTTAGCTCACCTGCATTAATGGTTGCCTATTACTGAGACATCAAAGAGGGTGCTTAGGGTGACTTTCAGGACAAACTGAAGAAAAATAGGCAATCCAAATGAGATCTGAACAACCCTTTTAACTACTACTGCTACACAATGAGACAGCAGCAACACCAGATCTAACACAGCTTCAGTAACGTGTGACCCTGAAATTCTGGATCCCCTCCAAACAGATGCCAAAGTTTTGGGCCATTTTGTGCCATGAACCCCATGTTTTGTGCTGCCCCCCAAGTTATTGATGCAGCAAACCGGGGTCACAAGTTAATGCCCCAAAGTCCAATCTTGTTTGATAAGACTCCAGACTGTTGCCAAAGTTTTGTGTTAGTTTTGTGCCACAAACCTCACGTTTTGTGTCACCCCCCAACTAAGTAATTGACAAACGGAGCCATAGGTGTAGCCCCAAACCCAACATTGCCCAATTGGCTCCAAACTGGTGCTAGGGTTTTGTGCTAGTTTTATCCCTATTTGGTTTTTATTGAATCAAAGGCGATCCAACACATTTTAGTGCTATGAAAATAATAATAATATCATCATCCAGAGGGCAATGGCACTGTCTCCCCAGTGGTAATAAAAATACAACAATCAACTAAATAATTGTAATTTTCTACATTTCGGGGGGAAACTTTCAACATGCGGAATGGTAGGCCTCATTTTATGTGAGGTAATTGACATTAGGCAGAATATCTAGCATTTTTCTTACAAGGCCATGAAATAAATACAAAAAAATTCTGGACTCAGGAGCGCTTCATTTTATGTACTCAGAAGAACAAGGAACAGGAAACACACCTGGGCCCAAGTAGGTGACCAGCATTTGCGAACCTGACTTTGGGAGCTAGAGGACTAATAGCCTCTGATTTACACAGCCACATTCCTTATAAGGAGAGAACTGCGCACGGTGCATCATCTGTAGTCATGTGCAAGGTTTCCAAAATGAACAGTGGTGAGTGGGGCCCATTGGGACTGATATGGCAGAAGGCAAGGAGCCCAACAGCAGGGGGCACTAGAGGCAAGTACTTCTAGTTTTGTCCCCCTATTCCCCCACTCTGCTGAGCTCTACAAGGACAACACTGAGACCGATGAGGGGGAAACTGTCAGGCAGGGCCATCACCCCCTTGGCCTGGTTCTAAGTACTGTATGGAAGAAGGCAGTTGTGGGCTGGCTGAAGGCAAACTCAGCTTGGTGGGCCAGTGCCCTATTCACCTCTAATGAACCACCCTCCACTGAAATTGAAAGGGGGAAGAAGTGGGCGGATCAGGACCTTCAAATGGAGGCAGTTGAGTTCAACCCTTTTCTACCCACTGTGACCGAGAAGAAAATATCCCGAAGAGGGAAACTTCAGTTAGCACTAATGGGAGTTTGCCTGCCCTGGGCTAAGAGCATCTGATGGGTATTTTTATATATATATAGAAAATCTAAATGCCATTTGTGTAGGAAAGGGTTAAAACCCACCACCTGTAACATGCTGTGGACCTTATCCCACCCTTGACTGATATTTATCATTTTCAAAACAGGCACTCAACTACAGGTGATAGCATTTAGCTTCACAGGTAGTTTCTTCCTGATAGTCCACTTGAGTTAAGAAATTCATCTGGATATTTCAGAGTAGCCTAGATCATCACAATAGCAGCAGTAGAAACTGAAATAGTGATACTATACTAAGCACCTAACGCTATAATTCAGTGCTTAAAAACAACCAGCCTTGATAGATGCTCAGACATTATTACTATTATTATTTTAAAGGGTGGGGGGGAACCTCACAGGGTGAATGAAGTAATATTAAATGTACATCTAGTTTAGATATAAATCTAGAAATGCATGCTGTTATTCTTAAGTAAGTCTTGCAGAAGCCAGATCGATGCTCAGTAATATATTTGTTGGGGGGGGGGAAAGTTTTGGGGAAAAGATTATAATCAAGCTCTACTAAGAAATATTTGGCTGAGCTGCTTTAAACTTCACAGCTCAGATTATTTTTCCATCTGCCCTATGTGAATGCTGAAAAGATACACCATAAATCCTCCTTTTATGTTCTATGGGCCATTTGCCATGGGTGGAGATGGTAACAGCACATTATAAAACCAACAGTGCATATATTTGGAGCTGGAGTCTAATCATTTCTGCTTCCTGAAGGAGCATCCTAGAAGGTAGGGAAGGATGCTTAAAATAATTTGCATGACTCAAGAATTCTTTCTAAGATTTATGGCTTCCATCTCAATTTCATGATTACCACTGGTTAATTCATTATATCATGCCCTCATCCACTCTCCAACTTCTTGAGAATTGATGTGCCCCTCCCTCATTAGGGATTCTTTGATCTAGGTTAAATAAGTCCAGCAATAATTCAATTCTGGCCTCCTTTTAAACATCTAGGGAGCATTGATGGTTCATTGATGGTTCCATCATGGAGTGTATAGGAGGGAACTGTTTCTTTGGAAAGCCTGACCACCTCGGTTTACATAGAATCATAGAATTGTAAAAAGTTCCCACAAAACATCTCTAAGAATTTCTAGCATTGCCTACTTCCCAATCTGTAAAATGTCCATGTTTGTGGAAATCCATGGAAGATAAGGGTATCCCTCCAGGCTCAGTTGCAGGGAATCATGAACAGGAGACAGGCATTGCAATGTGTCTCTGAATACCAAGCACTGAGGAACATGAATAGCGAGAGAGCCGTTGTACCCATGCGCTGCTTGCAAGCTTCACAGAGGCATCTGGCTGAGCACTGTGAGAACAGAATGCTGGATCTGATAGCCCTTTGTTCTGACCCACAGGGCTCTTAATGTAAGGTTACCAGATTTTTTTCAAAGAATCCGGGGACACTTTTTTTAAAAAAGAGAGTGAAAAAAAGTTATTAAAAAAGTTGTGTTTTTTAAAAAAAATAAAGAAGTAATATCTTCTCTTCAGTGGTCTCCTCTGTCACATGGCCTTCCTCTGGGCCCCGGCCTGTTTCCTGGAGCGCTAGCCGCCGTGGAGTAGGCTCGGGTTGGGCCTGGGCTCGGTCATGTGCCCTTGCCCTCCTGGTGCTCTCCTACCTCTCCTCCTCAGCAGCGGCAGCGGCAGTGGTGCAGCAAGGTCAGGGCTCCCCTCTTTTTTCTCCTTCTTCTTTCTCTCTCTCTTCCTTCTCCTCTCCTCCTTCTCCCTGCGTCGGCTCCAGGGTTTTCCTGGCCCCAGAGTGCTGCTGGGCAGTTGGCCGGGTGGCCAGGAGCTCTTGCTCCTGGCTCGATTTAGGTCGCAGGGGGAGGGTGTCTGCAGTTCCCCCAGTTGAACTGGTGTCCCCAGTTCCCCTTCAGCAGTGGTGCCAATGGCAGTCTCAGCAGCCCGGAGCCAGCCTGGTAGTGCAGTTGGCTATGGCTGGTTTCAGGAGCTGCTCGCTGCTGTGGCACCCACCATTTTGCTTCGCCTGAAGTCCCCATATGATGTGTCGTGTGCCGTTGAACCAGTGATGCAGCATTCATTCCCTACTAATAAATCTACAACACATGCAATATAAATCCGGGGACATTAAATGAAATCCGGGGACATACCAGGG